GCGCCGCCGCTCCGCGCACAGCCGCCGCCGCTCGCCTCGCCGCGGCCGCGGGGCTTTTATAGCCCGCGGGCGGGCGGCGGAGCCCCCCTCCCCGCCGCGGCGCGTTTGGCGGCGCCGTCAACAGGGTGGATAAATAAATAAGCGGAGGGGCGCGGGCTGCGCGCGGAGGCGCCGCCTGTGCCCGTGGAAACGCGCCCGGGGCCAGGGCGGCGGGGCGCACACAGGGCCCCCCCGGCGGGGGGCCGCGCTGAGGCAACGGGGCGCTGCCCGTTTGCGCCCCGCACAAACAAACGTTGTCCGTTTGCGCGGCCGCCGCACGTGGTTTTCCCCCCCACACACACACCTCCCCCTCCCGTCCGCACACAAACGTTATGTTGCATTCTGGTAGAAATGGGGCGTTTTCCAGGGCATCGTCCTCCCACGGCTGGAGACAGGACCGGGATGAGGGCAACCCGGGGTCCCGCCCGGGGTGTGGGGGGTGCTGCCTGTGGGGACCTTTCCTCACGTGTCACCTCCCAACCCACTGCGCGATTTTCTTGTTTTCATGTGGTCTTGATAATTTAATGATCATTTGGCCATTTCTTGGTAGTTGATTCCACCGCCAGCATCAGAGGTTGTTCCTGCGTGCGTGTGGCTTAGGCCAAACTCAAGCCATTTCCCTCAGCCCCAGTATTTAGAGAGCTTCTGAAAGGTTATTTTTATTTCCCAATTCTCACCCCAGACTCACTCCAGGGCCGTGTCCTTGTACCCTGTGGTGCAAGGGTACCAGGTACCTGGTTCCTCGTGCCTCTTCCACGGTGCCCTCAGCAACATCCAGTTCCCTGGAGCAGCATCGGCAGCGCCGCCTGCGAAAAGCGGCGCATATTGGAAGTTGTGCGTGTGGGAACATAATAAACGGGATTAAATATGCCAGTGGTGTCTTTTTCGATCATGTCAAAGACAGATGGAGCCTGAATTGCCTTTCTGAAGAAAAACAACCTCTTACTATAAAGGAGGAGTAAAGAGGAGTAGATGGAAAAGTCAATTTCTTAAAAGAATAAGATTTCCAAAGCAGCTTTGCTGCACCATGATGTATAATGTTGTCTGC